GGAAATATAAGTGTTTTTGCAACTAACAATTCTTCATTATATAAGATAGGATATTCGAACAATTAAAAAGTGAATGCATATAAGCACACATGTAATAAACACCGTCAAAACAATCCTAAATACTTTCAAAGTGGAATATTCGGGATGCTTTTTATTGAGTCCAATCTTCTCTACAATAGCTCACCGAATACCCATTTCATCTTTCTTGGGACCGACCCAATCTAATATATTCTTTCTTTATGATAATATATATTGTTTAAAAAAAAATTATACTCACCTTTGTTTTATACCCAACAAGCACAAGTGTCATCAAAGCTCCTCCAACAACTATTTCGACAAGTTTCACAAAATGCCATTCGAAATGAATCAATGACAGAAACATGAATATGAGAAATATACGTCCTAAAGACAACAAATGAAACAAACTGCATTGAATCCTAAAGTCAATAAATTACTTTCATAATCTTCCCGACTAAGACCTAAATAATACAGATGAAACACGAAAAATGATAAGCTCATTTCAATGACAGACATTTTTACTTATTTCATTCATTCACCAAGTAAAAATTCTTTATATTCCATATTTCTGACAGTAAAATAAGAAATCTCTAAACTGATCCTCTTGAAACACTAGAGATTGGATTTATATGATCTTCACCAAAATTAAGATGTTAGACAACCCAATTCAGAGTTTCCCAGAAATATCGCAAATGCCATCTGGATTCGATTAATGTTATAAGCTTCCCAAACGTTAAAAACACCATTCATTATATAATATTTTCATACAACAGCTGTTCAGAAGTTCTAATAGATTTCAAATTAAAATAATACTATACCAGTAAGTAACATAGCAGATTTTCCTCGATTTGCATCACTAACTTGTGGAACACCAGCAAAAAGGCTTCTATTTTCCTCCTGTGTTTCGGCAAACAGAAGTAGTAAGCCACCTCCAACAGCAACATTTCTGGAAAAAAAAAAAATTGAAAATGCATTTTTACATTCATCGTAAAACACTTTTTTTCGAAAACTATTTCCAGAAGATGAATCAACAGTACATGAACCTTAAATTGTCAATAAGTTAATGATAACTCACAAATCTGAGTGATCCTCGTGCAGTCACAGGAGACTAGGAAGCTTCCGTAATCTTCGTCAAGCAACCGAGGATCAGATCAGACATTCAGATCTAAAAATGAACAAGTTTCATTAAACAAAAAAAGCTTACCTCGCCAAAAATTTTAAATCCCACAGTATATGGTAGGCGACCGTTTGTAAAGCAACAACAGAGGCTAGTAAAATGCATGCAATGCCAACCTGAAAGTTGCCATCATTTACAAACTGTGAAAATTAGATAAGTCTTTCAAAAATATAGAAACTGACCCTTTTACGAATCATAACCATTACAACTGGAATAATTTGCCCGAAAAAGTTGAACACAACGAAAAAAGTAGCAAGTAACCAACCACATGACCAAGAATCCTGAAATATGATAGAAGTTTCAATTTCCAAGTGAGCCTGCTAACTACAATCACAATATCTAATAACGTCTTCACTTCCCTAATAGCATACATAAGCCCTCAACCATTAGGAGTGCATAACAAAATCTCAATAAAGATATGAATAACAATAACACTATGAATAGGTTTTCCTAATCAACATGAACAATTTCCTGAATCAAGTAATAATTCCATCTATCACTAAAGTTACAAGAGGGAAGAATTCCTGGATTATGTTAAAAATATATTTCCGAAGTATCACCTGCATAAACTGTCTTTGATCATCCCACTGGAACCACATACGAATACCATCTTCAATAAATGTTGAAATAAGACAAAGCCGTGCAACATGCGGCAAAAAATGTTTTGTGTGCCTCAAAACCTAAAATTGAAAGTGAAATAAACAAATACAACTGCCTCACCATATTGCGTATTTACTATTACTATTCATCTAATTCATAACTTCTAACAGAGCAAGGTAATTTATATTACGCCATACTCTGTGACGAGTTCAGTATTCCTTTATCAAAACTTCCTAATGAAGGTATCCTTTTTCTACCGAACCCAAAAGGAACCAGACATAACAAGAATTTGAAAGTAAAAAATTATACAGTCAGCATGAAAGAAAGGTCAACTCTCCACAACTTCTATCTTTTATCTTTCAGCAATATCCCATTTTAATAAAATTGTTCCACAGAAACATACATCGTCAGCAGCATCTTCAGCTGCTCTCAGAAATTCACTTTGTCCGCCTGTCCGAAACTGATCCATCTTTAGGAGCTAAAGATAACTATAGTTACATTAGAAAGAATCAAAATAACTGATTTCCAACCAAAATAATCTTCCAGTGGCTACAACTTTAAATAATCATCCATTTCAAAAAAGGCATGCATATTTTGGATAGAATTTAAAAACAAGTCAAACGAATTTATAAATGATAATTATCACTCAAACGACATACGCTTCATGTATACACGTCGACATTAATGATTGTTAACTATATCTACATCTCCAGATCATATATTAGCGTTAATTCGACAAGCAAACGCATACATAAATTTTAGCAATAATTCGTCAAAGTCAAATCGTAGAATGTTGAACGTAGCTAATCAACTTCCCCATTAATTAATTAATCAAGTGCAAATGTCAATCAAAACTTCTCGGCACCATCCAAAACCGCAACACACCATCAATCCAAACATTCACACTATGACATTTAGACACGTCGATTAGCCATGCATTGAATTGTACGAAGTTTCTGACAATAGATCGATCAGTGATATACAAATGAAACTATTGCGGATCTCACATAAATCAGGATTTGATTCATTTCTTTTTCCCTTTTAATATTTTCAATTTTTTTTTTCGTAAAGATTTTGACAATTTTTCGGAGTTTTTAACTTTACAATACTTCATTGCCATTAACAACTAATAGTCAATCATACGTCGCATTGTTAATTAAATTTTTAATTATTTACTAAATTAAGTCAATCAACCTTATTGATTGAAACTGCAACATACAACATAAATGTGTATGGAATGAGTAGTAAAAGGAAATCTTTTTCAGCATTAAAAAGTTCAGTTTAAAACTATAAAACTACTAATTTTAAAATATTAAAACTACTAATTTTCATTAAAACTACTAATATTAAATTTAA